GGAGAGTGCGCACGTCAGACAGGCAGACACACACACAGACAGAAAGACAGGCAGAAAAACGGACAGACAGACAGACACAGACGCACGCACACACACAAAAACATAGGCACTCAGACACAGTCACACAGACACAGTCACACAGACACACGCACACATAAACACACACATAGCCAAACACACACGCACACATACACACACACACACACACACACGCACACGCCTACACACTCACACACACACACACACACACACACACACACACACACACAGGGGTAGAGACAAAGAGCGAGAGAAGGTGATATTTTTTTTTATGAAACAGAAATATAGAGGAAGAAGAATTTAGGAGAATGAGATTTTGATACCACTTTCCTGCATGAACCTACGGCCCCAAATAACTTTGTGTAACATCAGTAACGTAGATAGAACAGTTTCCTTTATTTGTGCGCCTGATTTCATGCTACGTTTCTTATCTCGTGTTATAGCAATTAGATCTACGGCTCTAGCGCGCAACCCGTGTCTGTCATTACTATAATAAGATCTATCTCGCTTCTCGGTGAGTGTAGGGAGAACAGCAGCCGACTTCGCGGATCTTTGATAGAGTAAAAGAGTGGCTGAACGACGAGACGGTCGATTCTACCACCTCTTTTTGTTTGTTTTTGTAAGTGTTTTACGGCGCTCGCAACTGCATAAGGTCATATGAGCGCGCTCTACCACCTCTATTCTTTCTCTCTGCATTATTTTTTTAGCTGAATTGTGTCTGTCTAGTTTGGGTTTGCTTCGTGGTTGTTGTTTTTGTGTGTATTGTTTGTTGTTTTTGTTTTTATGTTGTTGTTTTTTTTGGTTTTGGTTGTTTTTGTTTTTTTTTGTTTTTTTTTTTGTTTTTTTTTGTTTTTTTTTTTTGTTTTTGGGGGGGGAGGTGGTTCCCCTACCCGTCAATGTAGTGGTGTAGCTTTGTGAAATCTTCTGTTTGTTATTGATCGAAGCAGTGCAGTGTTTGTTCTGGTGTGCTCTGCCCTTTTTCCTTCTTTGCAGCTTTACAAGGGCTCAAAATTGTTCCCTGGTGTTATGTTGTCGTTGTTATTTTGACTCTCTGTAAACTTCAACTCCTGTCTTTCAGCCACACCCCTGATCGTCTGGTACACCTAGTCTTCTCGGACACGGGCGAAAAATCTCGGAGGGACCGAGTGCAAGTTGCGAACGTTAAAGATCCCTTGGTTGTCTAAAATCGATAAGAGTAGGCTTCGGCCGCCATCCGGGCAAAATTCAAATTTTTTTACCTACTGGACCTTATGCAGTTGCGAGCGCCGTAAAACACTTAACCCCCCACCAAAAAAAAACAACCAGCAAACAAACAAACAAACGAACGAATAACAAAAACAGAAACGAAAAAACCTACGTGTAGGTGGTTCGCGGGTGCTCTGGTGTGGTTTGCTCCCTTATCCCTTTAGGAAATCTATCGTCTTTATCTCCCCTCCTTCTTTTTTATGT